ATGAAGAAAGATGCTATTTGCATCCAGAGAAAGAACTGATAAATAGAAGTTTGCATAGAATAATTTTACATACCTATTTGGGTCTAATGGTAGCCATCTCTAGGGTGGAGGGAGGGAAGAAAAAAATTTACATGATAATTTTGTTGTATATTTGAAAGGAATAGCAGGTTGTGCGTAGTAGATTTGCCGTGTCATGTGCAATCATCTTTTTTATTGTACTTTGTTATGGAAATGCTTGTTTTATTCCATAAATTAAAATTAAGATTTTTTTAAAGTTAAAAAAAGAAGGCATTGTAGAAGTTAAAGGTTTCTTGGCCTTGCCACAAATGTTAAGGGAAAATATTTTTTAGGATAGGATTTTTACCTGGTAGATTTAAAGGGAAGAATGACAGTGGGAGAGATTGAAGATACATGAGAATGAGGGGATGATTGATAGCGACAGGCACAGAGCTAAGTGCTGTGGATTTGTAGATTGCATATGCAAGAAAGCAAGACAGAGACCTGACTCTCAATGAACTTGCATTCTAATTGGGGAAGACAGCACAAGAAGGGAAGCCAGAAACGGGGGAGAGTAAAGTACGCAAGGTGGCAAAGTTTGGAAATGGCTAGAAAGTGAGGCAGAGGTCTGGATCTGGACAAGATAAAGTGAAAGTCCATCTCTCAGAACCTGGTTCCAGGAGAGGATTCCAAATTTCTGGTGGGAAGGAGATAGGGGAATAGCTGGAGAGTAGGCAACATGGCTTGGAGGTAACTGAGAAGTAATATATAATAATGAAATACTATGGAGTAGACTGTAAATCCAAAAAAAGAAGAAAACCAGTTGAACTAAGAGAAACAATCAATGAAGTAAAATAATACAAGTGGGCTAGAGGAATGAAGAGAGACATCTCATACTCTTATCCACCTCAGTTCTCAGTTACCTCCAAACCATGCCATCTACTCTCCAGTTATCACCTTCATCTCCATCTTCCCCTGGGTTCTGATAGGTGGATTTTCACATTATCTTACTCAGGCCTCCAATTCACTTTCTGTCCTTTACATAGTCATTGTTTAATAAATGTCTTTATCCCTTGATCTTGCTCCATCAATCATCCCCTCACTCTCATATACCTTCAGTCTCTCTCACTGTGTGTGAAGCATTGTACTAAGTACTGGAGATACAGATAGAAAATCAAGACAGGCTCTGCTCTCAAAAAGCTCATATTCTAATTGGAGAAGGCAGTAGACAAAGGAGGGTTCGTGTTCAAATTCAGTTCAGGGTAGATGGAAAGGTCAGGTATTATATGGGCAGTGAAAGTAGCAGGACTAATGGCAAGGACCCAAGGACTTTGCGGGGTAATGGCAGGGTAGATAATCTCCTTCCAAGAGGATAGTGAGACCAAAGGTCATGTTGAAGTGGGACTTTGGGATTTCTCCAACAGAGATATGAGTGTGGGGAGTCAGCATCCAGCTTATTGGATATTTTGCCTTGTGACAATGAGGCAATTGGACACCAAGGATTGATTGGTTAAAAGAAAGGTCCATGGCTCTCCTTAGTGGTATCAAGTTGTGGCCAATGGAGGTGCCTTGTCCCAAATCATGGATGGAGGGTAGACTCATTCTCTTTGTCCCCAGAAGGCAGATCTAGGATTAATACGTAGGATTTGCAGAGAAGAAGATTTCTAATTAATGTAAGAAAACCCCCAAAACTTAGTAATTAGAACTGTTCAAAAGTAGAATGGGCTGCTTTAGGCATTGGTGGTTTCCCCTTAATTTGAGGCCTTCACACAAAGGAGAGATGACCACTAGTTGGTTATAATTTAGAGTAATTCTTGTTTGAGTACCTTTTGGACTCCATAGTCTCTGAATTCCTGTCCAATTTTGAGATTCTGTGGTAAGTTTGATGACAAATCTTAAGTTTTTCTAGAGATAAAAAAGTAAATGAGAAATTATCGGTCAATGCTTTCAAAATGTTGTCACCTCCAGTATGGTTTTTTGTTAATTTTTGTTTTTAACATGTGTTTTTAAAACTTTGGGCTACAAATTTTCTCCCTTCCTCCCTCCCCACCCATCCTCATTGAAAAGGCAAGCATCTTGATACAGGTTATAGATGTGTAGTCATGCCAAACACTTCCATAGTAGTCATGTTGTAAAAAACTAAGTATATTTCCCTTCATCCTGTCCTACTCCCTATTTATTCTATTCTCTCTTTTGACCCTGTCCTTCCTCAGAAGTGTTTGCTTTTGATTATCCCCTCCCCCAATCTACCCTCCCCTCTGTCAACCCCCTGTTCTCTTGTCCCCTTCCCCCCTTATTTTCCTGTAGGGTAAAATAGATTTCCACACCCCATTGTGTATGTTATTCCCTCCTTAAGCCAAATCCTATGAGAATAAGATTCACTCATTCCCTCTCACCTTCTCCCATTTCCCCTCCACTGTAAAAGCCTTGTCTTGTCTGTTTCATGTGAAATAATTTACCCCATTCTACTTCTCCCTTTCTCCTTCCAGTATAATCCTCTCTCACCCCTTAATTTTATTTTCCAGATATCACCACTTCATCTTCAACTCACCCTGTGCCCTCTATCTATCTATCTATACATACATATAATTTTTTCCGTCCCACTACCCTAATGCTGACAAAGGACTCATGAGTTACAAATATCATCTTTCTATGCAGGAATGTAAACAGTTCAACCTTATTAAGTCTCTTATGATTTCTCTTTCCTGTTTACCTCTTCCATGTTTCACTTGAGTCTTGTATTTGAAAGTCAAATTTTCTTTTCAGCTCTGGTCTTTTCCTCAGGAATGCTTGAAAGTCCCCTATTTCACTGAATGACCATGTTTTTACCCTGAAGGATTATACTCAGTTTTGCTGGGTAGGTGACTCTTGGTTGTAATCCTATCTCCTTTGCCCTCTGTAATATTATATTCCATGCCCTGCGGTCTCTTAATGTAGAAGCTGCTAAATCTTGTGTTATCCTGATTGTGTTTCTGCAATACTTGAGTTGTTTCTTTCTGACTGCCTGCAATATTTTCTCCTTGACTTGGAAATTCTGGAATTTGACTATAATATTCCTAGGAGTTTTCCTTTAGGGATCTCTTTCAGGAGGTGATGGCTGGATTCTTTCAATTTCTATTTTGCCCTCTGGTTCTAAAATATCAGGGCAGTTTTCCTTCATAGTTTTTTGAAAGATGATGTCTAGGCTCTTTTTTGAACATGGCTTTCAGATAGTCCAATAGTTTTTAAGTTCTCTCTCCTGGATCTATTTTCCAGGTCAGTTGTTTTTCCAATGAGATATTTCACATTCTCTTCTATTTTTTCATTCTTTTGGATTAGTATTACAGTGCCTTGATTTCTCAAATTGTCACTAGCTTCCAATTGCTCCATTCTAATTTTTAAGGAAGTATTTTCTTCAGTAAGCTTTTGGAGTTCCTTTTCCATTTGGCCAGTTTTGCTTTTTAGGGCATTCTTCTCCCCATTGGCTTTTTAGGCCTCTTTTGCCATTTAGATTAGGCTATTTTTTAAGGTGTTATTTTCTTCAGCATTTTTTTGGGTCTCCTTTAGCATCACTCTCAGTTTTTTCTCTACTTCTCTTACTTCTCAAAATCCTTTTTGAGCTCTTCCATGGCCTGGGACCAATTCAGTATTTTTCTTGGAGGCTTTGGATGTAGGAGCTTTGGCTTCTTTGTCTTCTTCTGGTTGTGTGTTTTGATCTTCTTTGTCACCAAAGTAAGATAATATCGTCTGACTCTTTTTGCGATGCTTGCTCATGATCCTGGCCAATTACTTGAGTTACAAACTTTTTGTTAAGGTAGGGGTCTGTTTCCAGTGTGGAGAATGTTCTGTCCCAAGCTTCAGGGGTTTTGTGCAGCTGTTTTTAGAGATACTTCTAGAGACTTGTAAATTTTCAGTTCTTCCAAGGTGTTATGATCATGGGCGAGGTGTTTACTCCTTTCCTGGCCTGTGCTGTGATCTATGAGCACTCTTTTCTGTTTTGGAACTGTGAGGAGGATTTCTTTTCTACAGCCGCTACAAGCTCCACCATGCTAGCGCTCCTCCTCGCCCTAGGACCGCCATCCAGAACTGTGACCCAGATCCAAGCATGGGCAAAGCAAGAGAATCCTGCTTCAGCAGAGATCTCTGCAATCCCCCTCTGATCAGCCACTTGATTCCCCCTCAGTCTGTGGGCTGGAAGCTCAGGAGGCAGCCACCATCTCAGGGGCTGAGCTTGGCGAATGGGGCTGGAACCCCATCGTGCTTCTCTTTCTCACCGCAGACACAGACTTTTCCCACTGACCTTCTAAGTTGTCTTTGGCATTCATGGGTTGAGAGTTCTGGAAACTGCCTCAGCTGCCTCTGATTCAGTCCTCCAAGGTCTGCTCCAGGTTCGCTGCAGCCTGCACGCCCACACCAAACTGCCCTTCTCCCCGAGCCGGACGTGATATACCTTTCCAATCAACCATCCAGGTTATCTTGGGCTGGAAATTTGTTTCACTTTGTATTTTCTTGGGTTCTGCTGCTTTAGAATTTGTTTAGAGCCATTTTTTATAGGTATTTGGAGGGGTTTGGGGGAGAGCTCAAGCAAGTCACTGCTTTTACTCTGCCATCTTGGCTCCGCCCCCTCTAGTATGGTTTTCTACTGTATATCTTTGCTCTGGTCCAGATATATCTCCCATCTTTGCTTACTATTTCCAGTTTCTTTTATTCAGCCTAGTGGAAAGTACCAAAGCACTCTGAGGGAAGACAGGAGGCAGCAGTGTGCTGGGTGGGTGAAGCCACAGCTACCTCACTCACTTTGGGCTGAGAGTTGGTATTCAATTTGTTTTTTTTGTCTTTTGATTTCAGTGAACTGTTTCATAGATGATTTTCTGATCTGTTTGACATGACAAACAGAAAAGAAAAACAACAAACCCGAGTTGCCTTTGTAACCCTGCCCCCGCCAAGATATTGTGACCACTAATTTGTAAAGAGCTTTTGAAACTAAGGGATTAAAATTTTTACTGATTCTTTTTTATTTTTAGTGCCTGATGACCTGTCAATGGAGGAGAGAGAAGAACTTTTAAACATTCGTCGCAGAAAAAAAAAGCTTATTGATGATATAGAGGTAATGAATCTTTAAATTTCAAGTTGTAAAATCTAGTAATCTTCATTAATATGTAAAATATTTGTCTAGTGTTTCTCCATATATAAATATACAAAAAGACAATGGGAATATGTTAAATAAGTTGCAAAAGCATAGAACCTATATATTGTAGTATGTAAAGTTTAGTTTAAAAAAATAAGATTCAGTAATATTGTAGGGAAACTACTTATGACTTGCCAGTAAATTAATACCTGTAGGAGGATTGAGACCCACATGACCTTCAATCTGTGTAATCTGCTATGGAAACTAACAAATAAAAATCCCTTCCCTAACATCATATATGAACTGAAGGTAACAGAAGTCTGGCTAGGGGCAGAGTAATCAAGAAGTAATCAGGCTTTCAAGAGAACAATTTATACAGTAAGAATGATATTTTTGTGAAGACAGACGACTGGAAAGACTTAAGAACTTTGAGCAATGCAATGACCAACTGTGATTCCATGATTCCAACCATAACTGATGAGGAGCTATGATATTCACCTCCTAACAGTGAGGTCACAGATGAACTCAAGTTGCAGAGTACAACATACATTCTTGGACATGGACAGTGTGGAAATTTGTTTTGTTTGACTTAGTTACAAGAGTTTTGTTTTTTCTTGGGGGGGTGATTAGGGAAAAAATGTATTAAAATAAAATTTTAAAAATAACATTTAATTGGGTTTTGATTATGCAAAATTTTATGTCATTGTGGGTATTTGGAAGAGACAATAGACCCTAAGATGAATACTTTGAAATAGTTGCCCCTTTAGGGTGGAGAGACCCTAAAATAAGAGATATGGAATGCACAGCATTACTATATGATCTGATAATCTATGATAAAATAAAAAAGCACCTGTTTTAAAGAAACTGGGTCCCAAACCAGAGAGAATCAGGTTTGTTGCTATAAACTGTGTCTCAGGGAGCAGTTAAAGAAAATTCTAGAACAAGGGAAAATAGCGGATCTATTTTGGAAAGAATGTCCTTCAGGAAAATTCTTTGGGCAGAATCCTAGGAACATACAGAGTTAGGATGCGGAAGTTTTAAGAACAACTTTGAATTAAAGAATTGAGTGTCAATCTGTGGCTTGTACAGAAGGTACTGTACTTTCTCCATGACATTAGAGTTATGAGAGAACATTATAATTTGGACTGGGTATGGAAGATACGGAACTGGAGGTGACTATAAAAGCTTTATATGTGAACTTGTGCAAATTGAAAGTGACTAACAAGACTATACAGGTAATTATACAGTTAAATATAGATAAATATAGATAAAGGGAATTGTCGGTATAGTTTATAATCAGAGACTTCCATCACTATATAGGAGAAGTACAAGGAAAGGCAGTGATACCAGGAGTACTTACTTGTATAGAGAAGAGATAAGCTACTTGTGTGCATACTTTTAATTTATTCAGTTTCCACATTATTCAGCTTAAGAGTTGGAGAAACTTTTGCAGTTTAAATTAATCTTGCTCCCGAAGTGGTAGCAGTAGATACTCAAAGGGCAGTCACAAGCCAGTAATTCCTCTGTTGATGAGCTTTCCTGAGTTAAGTTTCTCACACTAACTAATATAGAGAAAAGTCAAAAAGAAATGTTATCACTCCTTTTAGAAACCTCTTTGTTCCATAATAAGTTGCCAAGATAAATCTTAACAGAATGGGTTACTCACAGATTGGAGTGCCAAATGTGATCTCAAACAAATTAAAAAGTCCCACAGTTCACCCGAGAATTTCCATTCTAGGTATTGGTTTTCTTGGTACGCAAGGTGTCAGAATCCATAACTGACTCCATTTTGTACAAAAGCTAAAATCATATAATTTGTTTTTTCTATGTTGTTCCTTCCTCTCCCTGAGGAATCAGGCAGGCTGGGATACATTTTATTGTTAGCCATATCTTTTAATGATAATGGAACCTTTTCTACCTCAGTAGTAAGAAAGAATCTAACTGCTTTCCTTTGCCATAGGTAGAAGTAAAGAAACTTTCTGTGGGTGAAGAATCTGTTCTTTCTAATTCAGGCTTGGCTGAATATTATGGATCATTTGTAAGATAAACCACGTCATTGGCTCTAACTCCATCTGTTGGTCTTGCGCAAAATGATAGAAATTACCAGAAATTTTATCATTGAAATGGCATGATGGCTTACCTTAGAGAATTTGACCTTCATTTTTTCTCCTAATCTTCCCAAGAACACCGTTGGAAATAAAAGAGAAGGGCAGTAACCACATCAAAACAGACTATTTTAGAATTGGAAGAGACTTTAGAAATATAGAAAATATGTTTAAGTAGTATCAATATCTTAAGTAAGGACTTCAATTCCTTTCTTTTGTTGATTTCATCTTTTTATACCTAAGACAGTCTTCTCTAGGATCTCTTAGTGTATTTTTTTTTCTGTAAGTAGGGCTTTTTGACATATATTATATGTCATATATGAGTCACCACTAGTGAACTACTTTGAATGAAATCCCAGAGAGAAATTTCATCTGGGTTGTGAAATTCTTGTATATTGGAATTATTCTTATACTTCTGTTGTCCTATTAGAAATTTCAAAGAAATTTGTACATGGAGTGTTAAAATTATTCTGAGCCTGTACGAGTTAATTTTTCCTTCCCTTTGATTCTTTTCCTATTTTTGGCAGAGGCTAAAATTTGAAATTACAGAAGTGATGACAGAGATTGATAACCTAACTTGTGTAGAGGAGAGGTAAGCTATTTGTGTGTACACCTTTAATTTATTCACTTCCCACATTATTCAGCTTAAGAGATGGAGAAAGCTTTTGCAGTTTAAATTAATCTTTTTTGTTTTTCCCTCAATACCACTCTTTCTTGTGCTTTCTGGAATAATCAGAGAATTCTTTCATTGAGTTGTTCCTTATACTGTACTTTTCTAATTCACCATTCACTTTTATTTGTTCAGAGCTAAATACGTTAGGCATTTCAGAATCAACTAACTTTGGTGTGTCCTATTTAAGAAATATGAAACTTTTTTTTCCTTTTATTATCACCATTAAAGTCTCTTAAGAAAATAAATCTGAAATTGTCAAACGTTAGGAGCAATCCAAAATAGCCAAAACTTCTATTTACAAAGGATTTAGTGAAGTACGCTTTTCTTAAGGGCAAATACTCCTCCCTAAATATAGTTATTTTGAAATATAAAACATCCTATGAGAATGTTTTATAATAATGATGACTATGCAAAAAATCGTCTAAAATTACTCTGCTCTATGAGAACACCTAGTAATAATTTTTAAAAATTATTTCAAATAAATAGCAAAACTACCCAGAGGAATAAGCAAATAGCTATGGGAAGAAAGAAATTCAACATGGATCCCAAAAAGGTAAGTGCATCATTTCAAATTCTTTGGAATACAAATTTTTCTTTCTTTTTTAATAAAAAAGTTGTCTTGACCAAGAATGAATGGCCAATTATTATCTTTTAAAATTCCAAGAATTTATATAGAATTGGAATAAATGGTAGAAGTTATATGGAAATTAAAGGAAAAACCATATGAAAATGCTTCATAACACTAATAATAAAAGACAAAGCTTCTCTGAGCTGAAAAGAGTATAGTTTTTATAGGAACTTGGTACAAATACCAGCCTCACCACTTGGGGTCACCTCTGTGACTTTTGGCAAGTCACTTAATTGCTCTGGGCCTCAATCTTTATATATGTTAAATAAAGGATTTAGACCAGGGTCTCTGCTAGTTCTAATTCTGTGACCCTATATATGACTTGTCAAACTGGCAAAGATAATAAAAGACATGTTCTGAATCAGAAGAGCTATTAAAAGATAGGCCCAGAATTATAGTATTGGTGGAGCTGCAAATTGGTCCAGCTGTTCTGGCAAATAATTTGGAATTATGTGAGAAAAGTTAACTTATTATTCATTCTTCCTGATCCAAATATCCCACACCACTAGGCACAGATCCCAAGGAGGTCAAAGAGAGAAAGAAATATTTATGGCAACATTTATTGTGGTAGTAAAAAAAAATTAAAACCAAGTAGGTGCTCATTGATTGGAGAATTCAAGCCAAATACATTTTAGTGTATGAATTTAATAGAAACTTGTTACACCATTAGAAAAGACTAATGAGGAATTCAGAAAAACAGGGTCTGCTTGTATAAATTGGTACAAAATAAAGAAACAATCAGGAGAACGTTGTATACCACTGCAGTAATATAATTGAAAGTAACACTAAAATACTTCAAAATTCAGGTTCTGTCAATCAGCAAATGCAGTGACCAGTCTTCGTTCAGGAAAACCACTGATGAAACACACTCCCTTTGTCTCAAAAGAGGCTATTGGCTACAACTGTGAAATATTGAACATATACTATTAGATACTATATTGTTTGGTTTTGATTAATTGTTTTCCTTTGTTATAAAAGAAAGTCTCTATTAGCAGAATGTTATTGGGAAGTAGTATAAAAACAAATAGCATTATTAATAAAACATTTTTTGGAAAGGTAAAAGAGACTGGTAAAAAAAATCTGTTATCTAGGGAATCTGGTCCGTGGATTGCTGGATGAAAAGATTCCAGGTAATGGGTTCAAGGCATGAAATCAGCTTATACTTAAGATCCACCCATTGATGACATACTTTTTGTATGTATACTGTGTCTCCTTCCCATTCTGAATAGGCATAGTAATAGCTGGACTAGGTAAATTTTCTTCCTGCCAGAGTCAAAATCTCATAAAATGTTTGCATTTAAAAGACATCTGTTCCAAACTCTTCCTCTGCCTCCACTACTATCCCAAACATCACTATTTTTCAGATCAGAACCAAAGACCCAGAGACAAAAAATGATTTATTTAAAGTAAGACAGTTAGTAAATGATAGAGTCAAGACTCAAACACAGAGTATGTGAGTACAGTGCTTTCTCCACTATACCAGAATTTCAATGGCCATACCTAAACATAACCCTCCTTTTGTCAAGGCTACTATTTGAATGCTGTAATTGCCATAGGAGTTCAATAGCACAGTGATGTGTCTGCCAAGTGTTCTGATTTGTCTGCTTTTATAAAGTCAGGATTTTCTTATGAACTTTACTTTTAGTGCTGAGAAGAAAACTAATAATGTTCAAATGGTGCCAAGTTGATATTTTAATTATCTTTATACTATTATGTGCCTTTTCAGATTATATAGATAATTATAAAGTTGTTAATTTTACATTACTGACCTTTTTCCTCTTAGTGTACCTGAATGAATCAATTTCATTGTACTCTATTTTGATGTTAATTTGTGATCCTTATTACTTACATCAAACTGACATAGCACAGAAGCCTGAAAATAATTTTTATATGCCTAAAAATGATGCAATGTATTTGTATTAGATTCATAGGACTACTACTTTGGTGCTTTCTTCTTTGTATTTTTCACTTTCAGTACACTAATTTATTCATAATCATTTGTAATAAGTTTTACATTAAGGAATAGTATCTGATTTCTTTTGTTTTTTTATCTCCTCTTATTATTAGTTTTTGGTTTCAAACCTTTTAAAAATATTGGTTTCTAAGAAATAGTGATTAAATCTTTAACCACTACCATAGTCAGTGGAGAAGAGATTTCCTGCCTATTAGCATCTTTCTGGTTACAGCTGTCTGGGTTTAAAACGGAGTAGTATGACTTGGAATCCATATTGCTTACATTTTAAAGTTCTTTATTAAGACTTGTATAGGAACCCATCCAAAGGGCTTTAATTAATAACTTGTAACTAAATGAACAATATTCTTTTTTCTCCAAGTTTAGGACCACTCCCCCCCCCCAAAAAAAGCACTATTAAAATGCCACCTGGGGTAGCTGGGTGGCACAGTACACAGAGTACCGCCATGGAATCAGGAGGACCTGAGTTCGAATCCAGTGTCAGACACACAACATTTACTAGCTGTGTGACTCAGGGCAAGTCACTTAACCCCAATTGCCTCACAAAAAAATAAATAAAATAATTTTTTTAAAAATGCTACTTGCTATTTGCTCTGGGTTTTATAAATGTAAATTAGGTAATTGAAGAGTATGATACAAAGAAGAAATTGGTATAATTTTTAGCTTCTATCAGAATAATATTCATAGTTTCTATCAGAATAATGTTCAAAATATTTTCTTTTTAAAAATGAATTTATTTTTAACATTCTTTTTAAACTTTTGAGTTCCAAATTCTCTGCTTCCCTCTTGCCTCTCTCCCACCTATTGAAAAGGCAAGCAATCTGATATCAAACATACATGTGCAATCATGCAAGTTAGCCATATGGCAAAAAAGAAAAGCAAGAAAAATAAAGAAAAGTGAAAAAGTATACTTCAGTGTACACTCAGAACTCATCAATTCTGTCTCTGGAGGTGGATAGGATTTTTCATCATGAGTTCTTTGGAATTGTTTTGGATCTTGTATTGATTAGAGCAGTTACATCTTTCACAGTTGATCATCATTACAATATTGCCATGGATATGTACAATAATCTTCTGGTTCTGCTCAGTTCACTTTGCATCAGTTCATATAGGTTTTCTTGATGTTTCTGAAACCACCCCCCTCATCATTTTTTATAGCACAATAGTGTTTCATCACAATCATATGCCATATCTTGTTCAGCCATTCCCCAATTGATGTGTAGTTCCTCAATGTCCAATTCTTTGCCACAAAAAGATGCTATAAATATTTTTTTTACACATATGTCCTTTTCCTTTTTCTTTGATCTCTTTGGGATATAGACCTAGTAGTAATATTGTTGAGTCAAAGGGTATGCATAGTTTTCTAGCCTTTTGAGCATAGTTCTTGATTGAACCAGTGGTTGGATCAACCAATAGTTGGACCAGTTGACAACTTCACTAACAGAACTATTTAGTGTACTCATCCTCTCCAGCATTTGTCATTTCTGATAGGTATGAGGTGGTGCCTCAGAGTTCCTTTAATCTTCATTTCTCTAATCATTAGTGACTTAGCGTATTTTTTCATATGACTATTGATAACTTTGATTTCTTCTTCTGAAAACTGCCTATTCATATCCTTTGACCATTCATCAATTGGTGAATGGCTCTTATTTTTATAAACTCGACTTGGTTCCCTTTTTATTTGAGAGATGTGGTCTTTATCAGAAAAACTTGCTGTAAAATTTTTTTTATATTGCTTCATTCCCTTTGGGACCTTTTAGCAAAATACAGTTTCCCTGATTATCTCTTTTAATTAGCTCTGATTTTTACTTTTGCTTTGTCTGAGATCATGCCTTTTTCACTTCAGTTGAAACCTAATAGATTCTGCTCCATCTCTTTATTTTAACTCTATGTGTGTCTATTTTAAATGTGTCTCTTGAACACATATTGTTAAATTCTAGTTTCTAATCCATTCTGCTCTCTGCTTCCATTTTTTGAGTGATCTCATCCCATTCACCTTCTTATTAACTGTATTTCACTCTATCCCATTTTTCTTCTGTTTATCTCTCTCTCTTTTAATCCTGTTCCTCCTCAAAAAGTGTTTTGCTGCTGATCTTACTTTGATCTTCTGACCTTTACTCCATTAATCCACACTTCTTTTATCACATTTCCTATTTTTTAAAAAAATTTTATTTATTTATTTTTAGTTTTCAACATTCACTTCCATAAGATTTTGAGTTCCAAATTTTCTACCCATCTCTCCCCTTCCCTACCCAAGAAAGCATGCAATTTGATAGGGTCTACATATACATTCACATTGAACCAATTTGCACATTAGTCATGGGGCAGCTAGATGGTGCAGTGGATGGAGCACTGGCCCTTTATTCAGGAGGACCTGAGTTCAAATCCAGCCTCAGACACATAACCCTCACTAGCTGTGTGACTCTGGGCAAGTCACTTAACCCCATTTGCCTCACACACAAACACACACACATACACACACACCACACACACACACACACACACACAGAGAAACAATAGATAATTTGATCAAAGAAAATGGCAACAGTGAGACCACATATCAGTTTTTGTAATGTAGCTAAAACAGTCCTTGGGGGAAAATTTATATCTCTAAACACTTTCATCAGCAAAAGAGAGAGAAGAATAGATCAATGCATTGGACATAAAACTAAAAAAAAAAAAAACAAAACCTAGAAAAAATATCAAACCAAAGCTGAACTCCAAAATAGAAATTCTGAAAAACAAAGAAGAAATTAGCTAAATTGAAAGCAAAAACAACAGTGATGTTAACATTCAATTGATAAATAAAACTAAGAACTTGGATTTTCAAGAACCAATGAAATAGGAAAATCATTAGCTAGTTTGATTTATTTAAAAAAGAAAACCAAATTGCTAGTATAGAAAATTAAAAAAAATAAAGAAAATATCAGAAATTCTCTTGCCTAATTCTATG